TACAAGGTTTTGATTGTCTGACTTGGCATTTAACAATTTACTTTGGTTGGTCTTTCGCAATATTTTTTTTTTTGTATAAATATTGCTTGAATTTTTCTTTATTTTTTCTGTACATTTTCTTCTTGTTCTTCTTTACATTAATAATAAATAATAAATAATCTATTAGAATAAATAAATAATTGGTTCAAATTTAAAGTTAAATCTTTGCTTTTGATAAGATAATGTCGTCTGTATTCATCTCTTATTGTTTCGTTTAATCGGTTAGTGGAAACTCGAATTACTTGACCAGAACCGCTCTGTACAAGATCAATACTATGTTCAATAATTTAGACAAATTATTTATAAAGATTATATGAATAGTGCTGATTCTTTAATTACTGAATTCGAAAAAAATTGGATTATTTTGATGGTGGGTCGATATGTATACAAAGAAAATGTAGAATATATAAATCTTTTTTTTTTTATTTTTTATTTTATTCTATGAAGTAGATCGCTAACTTTCTGTTATCTTTAAGCTCACGTTAATTCAAAGCGTGCTTATGTCTGTTGAGAATGATGAATTAACTCATGATGATTTTTCTTATTCAGCGCCTTTGTTGTTGTATTCTTCTTCTATAGTGCCAGATTTTTATATCGATAGCGATAGTGATAATGGCAGGAAGAGTTTTGAATTGTTTAGAAAATCTTATAATGGTGTTAATAGTCATAAGAATCTAGATACAAACGTAATTGTATCATATAGTAATGAAAACAAGAGATACAATATTTTGAAGGATAATCTACCCAGAACTGTTCTATCTGTCGTAAGAAGATTAAAAATAGGCTCGATAAAGATCCCTCATATTATCGCGTTGGATATAGAGTGGAATTATCTGGGTAAAACCATATCTAACGTAACTAACTCTAAAAATGTTTCTCAAGTTGACTTTGATAGTCAATTAGATGATATAGAAGAGAAACATGCGATTAAAAGGACAGCTTCGAGAAAGCGGGTTAGAATCAATCCACTGACTGCTTTTTTCTCAAAAGCTCCAGAAGATGTCCGAATATTGAATAATAAATTTTTGGATACCGCCTCCCAAGTTAAGAATGAAAATCCTATCACACAAGTCTCAAATAACGATAAACCTGATTCAATTGATCAAGATTAATATTGATTTTATTTTTCTGTTTTTTTTTATTTTACTTTTTTTTTTTAATGATTTTTCTTTTTTTTTCTGTATTGTATTTATTTTTTATTGTTTAAAATATTAAATATATTGTTATTACGATAAAAAAGTCATCTTCGTGTGTAAATTCCGCTAATTTAACTTGAATCGATCATTTGAGCAAAAATCTTAATGTTTATCGTTGTTCATCTTTAATCATCCTTTTGTTTGGATTTGCTGTCCTATCATTAAGATCAGAGAATTCTTCGAAAATGATTTACATTAGTGATCTGTTCACTAAAAAAATATTTATGATATCAAACTTAAATAAATTGTTAACCCTTAAAATAATCAGCAATATCAATAGAATTTCTATATAAATAGAACAATTGTTCTTTGTAAAAGAACCATCTTTTGGATTATTTCTATATTAAATATCAAAAACTTTGTTCTGAAATATGTCTGAATATGATCGAAATTCTTCTGTGTCAAATTATTATGATAAATATGAAAATGAAAACTCTGACGATACTCGATCCATTTTTTTTTCGTTTAAACTGTATGTTTACTATAATGAAATAAATCAGAATCTATCAAATGCATCTACCCAACCTGATTTTTTTACTCATAACGA